GCTGCTGCTGCTCCCCAGCCCTCCTGAGACCGTGGGACAGAGGTGCCGGCCTCGGCAGGGCCATGGAGAAGGGCAGGGAGGGCTGCTCAGCTCCAGCTGAGGCCAAAGGCACAAGTTCTGCTGCTCTGCCCCTCACTGGGGCCAAGGAGCATGGCCAGGAGCTGCGCTTTGGCTCTGCAGGGCACAGACCCAAGGAATTTGCCCCCCACCAGCTGCCCTACATTGAAGTGAGCACTGCTGTGTCTCTTGGGCATCGTCATCCAGGCTGCAGAGAAACCGAGGCACGGACGCTCAGTGTCCTTCTCCAGGAGGGAGCTGCATTCTGCCTGCGCTGCCTTTTCCTCTTCCCAGGTCTGTTTCCCAGCACAGCCCCTCCCAGCGTTCCCCATCCTTCTGTCCCCATTCTCTGCCCCTTGGCTCAGGGCACACAGCCACCTCTGCTGCGGCACCAAAAGTCCCAACGGAGATTAAACCATCCCCATAGCTTTAACAAGCTGCTGGCAGAAAAACAGCAGCCAAAGGCACCCAGGGAGTTACCCTTCAAAGTCAGGGACCCCTTTCTCACTGGAAGCGATGTTTGGACAGACATCACAGGTTTTCCAGTCTCTCCCTCTTTTTTGCACGCTAGGATTTGCTTGCAGAAAGCTGCATTGGGTTCTCGAAGCCAAGGCGGCTGCAGAGCCTGCTCCCCACCTGAAAAAACCATCCCTTCCCTCTGACCTCATCCCAACCGTTGCCACAACAACCCCAGCTGACGTCACCGGCGCAGTGTTGGGGTTTCAGGTGGGGAAGGAGCAGAGCTGAAACCGCAGAAGGAGCTCAGTGAGAGCCAGAAAGGAAATGAGGGGAGATGGGGGAAGGAAAACTCAGCAACAGCCCGGCAGCAAGACGGGATGGCTTCCAGACTGCAGGCCCGGCTGGTTGTGAGCCAGCAATGCTGCAGAGCCCCACACCCATCCCAAGGTGTGGGGTGGGGCAGGGGAAGCCCCCAGATCAGTTCCTCCTGTAGGCTCCACACTGCTCCTCTGCTCCCTTCATGGGGCAGGGCTGCCCTGCTTGCTGAGCAGTGCGCTCCTGGGGTGCTGGGCTGGTGTTAGGATAAAGCCCATCTTCTGTTTCATTAAGGTTTCATTAAAGTTTTTCACTCCTTCCAAGGGATCTTCTTGCAGAACATTGTCTGGAATGCCAACAGCGTAAGTCTGTCTGTCTGCATGTGAAGGATGGCACCGAGGGAGTCAGGGAGCTCTTTAGAAGGAAACCCATCCTCAGACAATTGCAGTTTGATCAGCACTGGGCAGACCCCAAACCAGGCCCGGCACAGCAGGGCACACGGCCACATCCCACCCCCAGCCCTGCATGGCAGAGGGCTTTATCCCATCCTGGAGCCCACAGATCTGCTGCACTGTTTTGTAGCTTAGCCCAGAGGAAGGGCGTTCAGAGCTCTCAGAAAGTTGGATTTGCAGAGACTGGAAGCGCTGGGTGAGCTGACTTGCTGGCAGCACTGAGGGCATCAGAAGAGAGCTGCTGCAGCTGGTTCCCCTCGTGGGCTCACCAAAACCGACCCCAGGAGGGCAGAGAGCAGCACATCAGGCACGGGCTGAGCTCAAGCAGGAGATGACCTGCTTACAGGCAGCACAACGGCGCTGAGCTCTGGGGCCAGCAAGTCCCAGCAACTGGGACGCAGTTCCTGTCAGTTCCCAAATCTCGAGCCGAAAGCAGCAGCAGCCCCTCAAGAGGTATCTGCATTCCCTCTGCTAGGTAGCACAGCAAACTCGTCTAAACCCTACGCACCAGAAGCAGCTGACCGCGAGCGGGGACCCGGCGGCACGGCCGGGCTCGGCACGGAGCGGCTTTCTCCAGCAACAGTCTGGCTCTCTCTGGTGGCTGCTCGGGCCCTGTGCAGCCTCTCTGCTCCTGCCCAGCACTCGGCGCCGCGTCCCCCACCGCAACCCCATCCCGGCCCTGCGGGACCCCGCGGTGCGCTCGGATGGCGCGGACACAGCCCGACCTCCCCGGGTGAGAGACGTCGGGACGCGGCTGCCCCCGAAGGTCCAGCGCACAGTCCCTCATCCGGATGGTGCAGCCACCCCCAGTGCTGCTTAGGATCCACCCGAAAAACAACAACTGCATGCTGCATGGGGTAATGGAAAAATGTGCCAAAGAGTGCGAGTGGAACCACTGAGGACTCATAGAATGGTTTGGGTTGGAAGGGACCTTTAAGGCCCATCTGGTCCCGCTCCGATGGGACACTTGCAGCTCGGTTGGTGCAGGAGGGGCAGTATGGGACTGAGGACATCCTCCGAGACCCCAGTGTGTGCTGAAGATGCTTTGATGATGACCTGAATGAGGAGCACCTGTGAGCCTGCAGCCCAGCACTATTGCTGTCCACCCACCCCCCCATCCATCCACCCATTTACCTATCCATCCACGCATCTACCCATCTATACTTCTGTCTGTCCATCTCTCTGTCCATCCACCCACCCACCCACCCATCCATCCGCCTGTCCATTTAACCATCTGTTTATCCATGTGTCCATCCATCCATCCATCCATCCATCCATCCATCCATCCATCCATCTGTCCAACCATGCACCTACTCATCCTCCCACTCATCGATCCACCTGTCTGTCCATCCATCCACTCACTCACCAACCCATCCAGCCACCCACCTACCCATTTGTCTGTCCATCTATCCAGCCACCCACCTATCCACCTGTCCAGCCACCCATCTATCCGTCTGTCCATCTGTTCATCCACCCACACATCCGTCTGTCCATCTATCCATCCACCCACCCATCCAGCCACCTATCTACTCATCTGTCTGTCCATCCATCCATCCATCCATCCACCCATCCACCCACCCACTACCTATCCATCCATCTGTCCATCCATCCATCCACTCACCAACCCATCTACCCACCCATCTCTCCACCTGTCTGTCCATTCATCAATCCACCCATCCACCCGTCCAGCCACCCAGCTATCCATCTGTCTGTCCATCCACTCACTCACCCACCCATCCATCCATCCCCCTTCCCACCCCGGACCCACAGCAGAGCCCGGTCGCAGCTCATCACAGCCCTGCAGCCCGTCTCCCTCCTCCCCTGCACCCACTGGCAGTGCTGGCACTGCTCTGTTTGGTGGGTGGCTCACATGCTGTAATTAAGAGCCCTTCTCTCCCGCCCGCCCGAGCTCCGTCTCCAGCAGCTGTTGTTTCAGCGAAGGAAACCCCCTTTCGTCCTCTCTCTCCTTTATGATGTTTTTTTTTTCTCCCTTCTGAACATAAAGGGATGACAGTGCTCCAAGCCGGGGTCTTTTGCATTTCTGAGTTGGTTCTGTTAATTGGAAGGAGGGTTAAGAATCTGCAAGGTCGTTTCAATCTACATCTGACCTTCAGAGTAATCCTCTATGCCAACACCAGAGCATGTCATTAAAATGAGGCCCTCTACCATATCCCAGCATCCCTTTATTCTCTCCTTGTGCACATTAATTGCTCGTAAGTTGATTTGATCTCCCTATTCTGCAAGAAGTAAATTGCCCTCTTATTTCGCCATTTTCATCCTGTTTTCTTAATTAGGCCCTTAAAAATCTCTAGGGCCTCAGCCGGGCCGCGGGCCTCATCCTGGGAATAAATTTTGATCTCTGCCTGATAAAGAGTGAGCAAACCCAGAGATGGAACAATGTCACCCCCCCCCATGCTGTTCTCCTGACATGAAAAGGCTATCAGTTTTTCTCTGTGTTAATATAGGAAATCATTCACACTTCAGGCGCTGTTCTCTATTTAGCGCTCACGCTCCCCAGATAAATCAGGGTGGGTTCTTTTTTCCCAGTCTCTGAGCCCCTCCTTCCCCCCCCTCCAACTCCTCTCTCGCTTTTCCCCTTTTCCCTTTAATGAAGTTTCCAAGATCAGCCCCTGCGATTTTCCACCCTGGGAAGTCTATTTTAAGGCAGGATTTCTTTGTATTTCTCTTTCCCTGTGCGCGTGTGTGCTTAACCCAGCAGCGGTGGGAGCAGAGGGGGCAGTACATCACACCCAGGGGTACCCCCACCCAACGCCCCCCACCACCACACATACCTGCCCTTCCCAAGGCTCTAATTAACCAGCAGAATGCTAATTGGAGGTCCAGCACCCCAAAATCCAACCCTAGGAGAAATGGGGATGCAGCCCCAACACGACTGCAGGAGCACAGCTCTGAGTGCCCCCAGGAGAAACAGCCCACACCACGATGCTCCAGTATGTCGTAAATAAATATATTTTAATGATTCTTCTTCCATTCCAGTTCATTCTTTTATACATTTCTTTATAAAACAGTAGTAAAATTTCTTTTTTTTTTTTTTTTTTTAAATCAGAGCACAGTGCATTAAAAAATAAAACAAACAAACAAAAAAAAAAACCAACAAACAAAACCTCCAAAAAAAGATTTAAAAAATAACAATAATCCACAGCTGCTTGCTCACGCACTGGGAGATGCCCCCAGCAGCAGGAGGGCCTGGCACAACCATCCTGGAGGACATCATCCCGCCCTGGAGGACCCCTGATCCATCCTGGAGGACGTTGTCTCACCCTGGAGGGCCGCTGTCCCATCCTGGAGGAGCTCTGTCTTTGCAGGCACTAACGGCAGTGATGCCCAAAGGCCTCCGGTGAACACACAGGTTGAAACAGCCCCAACTCCACTGGCCCCTGCCAGCCCTGCTGCCATCTCTGCCCCTTCCCTCCTCTCCCCCCACCCTCCACACTTCCCCCCACCCTCCACACCACACAGGCACCTCTCCCTCGGGAGCTGGCTCACACATCCCTTCCCCACCTCACCCCACTGCTCCCTATCCTCATGGTGGAACAGGGCACACACTGACCCCCACACAGGCTCCTGCTCTCCAACACCCAACCTCCCCCCAGCCCCACAGCGCTGCACCGTGATGGGGCGCTGCAGAGGGCTCCATGCAGCCTTCCCTGGTGCTCCCCTTTGCACTTCACAGATCAGTGCAGTATTTTTCACTTTTCCCCCTCACACCCCCAGCTCCCCCCCCTCACTGCCAGGGAAGCAATGACCAACACCTCACAGCCCCACCGGTGAGGCTGGGAGCATGCTGCCAACAGTGGAACAAGAAGTGATGCTCAGGTTTAGCAATGGGCACAGATCCACCCCTGGCACGGCTGCCACGCTGATGCAGGGCAGGACGTCCGCTCTCGGTACGCATGCAAAGAGTCATCATCAAAACCACATGCTGCTCCTGAGCTGAGAGCATAGTGTGGTGTTTCAGGGCAGAGGCACTTCTGTGGGGTGGAGGCTGATGAACACAGTGCTGCTGGACCTCCACGACATCGAAGCGACGAAATTCCATAGGACATCCCCTCCCATGCCCTGGGAATTTGCTTGCTCCGCTGGAGCACTGCTTCTCCCCGCTGCCCTGGAGAGGCACTGTCAGGAGGAGCCCCAGCAGGGAGGTGACACTGTGACAACGCCATCAGTGGCACTGCAGGGGAATACTGGGAGGGGGCAGCGAGGCAGAGAGCTGTGAGCATCACACCCAGGACGTGGAGCTCCGAGCCCACACAGGGAGCACAGCAGGGACACGGTGGGAGGCGAAGCAGCCGAGATCATGCTGCCTGGCTGGAAAAGCTGCAGCCAGGCCAACGCCACGGCAAGCCAAGAAGGTTGGCTCCAGCTCTGGGCAACAAAAAAGCTTGCAAAAGACATGGTGGTACCCGGTGAGCCTTGAAGCGAGACCCCCGTTGCATAGAGAAAATGTACTCCTATGTAGATTCAAGTGCTCAGCAGGACGGGCTCCTCCCCCAGGAGGAAGAGTGCCCCGTGACTTCACTAACCAAACTCGAAGGCCCAGTCCTCGCCCCCAGCGCGGGCGCAGCCCCTCGTCACAGCATGTCTGCGTCCTCCATGCTGAAGCTGCTCCGGCGACTGCTGGCCTTGGAGGCCTCAGGGGACACGGCCGAGAACAGGGGGTCGGAGGCCAAGGGCAGCATGGTGTCCTGCAGCAGCATCAAGTCCAGCTCCTTCTTGGATAGGGAAGGGAAGGAAGCGCTGTGGCCGGGTTCCAGGCTGTCCGGGAAGCCCTGGGAGCCGTCGTCAAAGCTCAGGCTGTGGGTAAAGTCCAGCTGGTGGTAAGGAGACTGCGGCGGTGGAGGCAGCACCGGCTGTGACTCAGGGTCCGGGGGGGGCAGCATGCCCTCATCTGCACCGGCCTCTTGCTTGACCACCTGCTGAGCCAGCTCAGCCACGTTGACACCTGAGGGCGAGGAGGTGGGCAGCCCGTGCACGCGCGCCTGCATCTCCAGCTCCTGCAACAGAGGACTTGGGTGGGACACGGCACACGGGAACAGAGCATATGGGGATGTGGTGCTTAGGGACACAGCACGCAGGGACACGGTAGGTGGGCATCCATGGAGGCAGCAGGGAAGGAGAAAGGCATAGAAACTGAAGGCAAAAGAGGACAGAGGGACCGTGAAGCTCATTGGGAAGGAGCGTAAGGAAAAGTCTGGAACACCCCTGCAGAGCAGGACAATGCCCACCCCAGCTGCCTGGTGACCTGTCAGCCTAGAAGAGAGAGCCTGGCACGCTGGACTGAAATGTTTCAGAGGCTGGAGAAAGCAGGAGGGAAGAGCAGAAGGAAACTCACCTGGATGCGGAGTAGCAGCTGCTTGTTTGTCATCTCCAGCCGCCGAGAGTGGTTCTCCAGGTCCCGCGATCTCTGCAGGTCCTTCTGCATCCTCTTGATGTAGTCCACAGAAGCTTTCAGGATCGTCCCTTTGTTCCAGCGCACGTCCCTGTGATGCAGGATGGAAAAAGAGCTTGGCACCTGCAACTGTTTGCTCCCCAAAATAGCACCTCTTGCCACAGGGCAAGGAACACAATGCCCACTGCTATCCCAGCCCCACAGAAACCAGGGATACATACAGGTCATTGGCCTTGGGGATCAGCATCCCCAGCTCCTTGATGCGGTCATTGATGTTAAACCTTCGCCGCCTCTCGACTGCGGGGCGAGAAGAGAGGAGAGCAGTGAGGAGGGGGAGCACCTCGATGCCCTCCAGTCCAGCTCCCACCCCAGTCAGCACCCATCCAACCTTCCCCCCATGCTGAAGGGAACAACAACAGGGTGCCCTCTGCGCCATGAGTGCTTTGCAGAGCTGGGAAAGAAGTGGCTATGGGGGTATCTCCCTAGGAGTGAGATGAGATGGGAAGAGGACTCAGCTTGGAGAGAGGAGGAAGGAGGAAGAAGAGTGCCGAGGTCAGAGAGGTAACACCATGCCACTCATGGGCGGCCAGCACCCAACTCACTCAGGTTGTGATTGTCTTTCTTCTGGCGCTCCTTTGCCAGGGCTCGGCTCTCAGCATCTGAAATGGAGGCCCACAGTGTCACCCAGAGGGGATGAGGCTGCACCTTGCCCCATCAGCATCCCCCAGAACCATCCTCTGTGCCCACATGGACAGGGTCCTTGCTGCCACTGCAGTTCCCCACCGTGCTCTGGGGCCAGGAACTAAACCCGGTGCTGGGGACATACCTGGGCATGGGGACATACCCAGCTCTGGGGACGTACCTGTCAGCTCTCTCTTCTGGGTGAGCTCGGCGGGGCAGGAGCTGCTGGTGACACCAACGAGAGAGGCGGTCACTTGGGGGTCCCCACTATAGACATTCATGTGACTGCTGGACATTGGCAGCTGAAAACCAAAGGGACAGGCGGGTAAGTTCCATCCGGGGCCAGGAGACAGACCCAGCTGTGGGATCGGGGTTCAAGCCCAGCTCCTCAGCCTCTTGGACGCAAGTGCGCAGACAAGGCAGCTCTAATTGCCTTCCTCGGCACTTAAAATAGCTATAATCAGAGCAGCAAAGAAAAACAGGACTTCAAAGGGCACAGCTGGTGCCCTCCCACAGCCAGCATCACAAATGGGACAGATGAATCACAGCTGAGGAGGGCCCAGCAGGACAAGGAGGGCCCAGCAGGATGAGCCCCACATCACAGCACTGCTGCTGGACAGACAGGGCTCTCAGCCAGGGCTGAGACACAGCGAGCAGCAAAGCCCTCCTGACTCCAGACCTCCACTGCACTGCTCTCCTCCTGCCTCTCTAGTATTTTATGAGTGCTGCAAACTGTCATTAAAGAGGAGCAGAAGCTGAAGAACTGGCTCTGGCAGCTGCAGAAGGGAGATTTCCTTCCCAGCCCCATGTCAATGGGGCCATCCCACTGCTCCCATGAGCAGGTGAGCCTGCTCTGGTGCCTGCTGCCCACTGGCACGATGGCACATGGGGCAGCAGTGCTGAGGGACATGGGCTGCTCTGTGTGGGCGATTTCCTGCTGGGATGAGAGCAGCCACGAGCTCCAGCACTGCTGCAGGGTCAGGGCTGGAGGACAGCCACCTCCCCGGACTCACCGTGTTGGGCATGTGGACCTCAGGGTTCATATAGCCCAGAACATCGTCCAGGCGCATGATGTCATCGATGACCTCATCAAACTGAAAGGGAAAGGCATCAGGTTGTCAGTGGGCTCCTCTGGGGCGGCTGTGCCCCCAGCGGCCCCTCCTCACCTCCCGCTCAGGGTTGGAGCCGATGTTGAGCATGGCCATGGGGCTGTTGGGCGCGCTGTTGCCCGCCGAGGAGGACAAGACGTGGCCGGGCCGGACGCTGGGGGACGCAGCCGGGGGCGGCTTTGGCGAGTGGCTGGCAGGGCTGACATGGGCAGCAAACTTGTTCCCATAGGTCTCAGAGAGATACGCCTGAACCTTCTTGTCCCGTGACTTCTGCAGGTGGTAGGTGGTGGGGTTCTCCAGGTAGGACTGCACCTGCGTGGACAAAACCTGTCAGCAGCCCTGCACCGCCGGGGGGTCCCCGCATCCCACCCCCCCGGCACCATACCTTGAGGACCTCTCCAGGCACGGGCGGTGGGGACTGGTAGTGGATGGGGGTGTTGATGGCGGGGGTGGAGGCCACCGGCATGCGCTGCTGCTGCATGTAGTTCATCATCAGCTGCTGCTGAGCGCGCTCCCGCTCGGCCTCCTGCTGTGCTTGCTGCTTCATCAGCTCCATCCGCAGCCCGATGCGGGACGCCATGGTGCAGCGGGGCGGTGGGACGCAGGCCAGGCACAGAGGTGACCCTGCAAGGAGGGAGGGGGAAATGCTGTGCATCAGGAACAATGGTAGGGAAACTGAGGCGCAGGGAGGGAGCAGGCATGCCTTGTGTGCTCTGCCTGAGCTGCAGGAGCGGCCCCGCATCCGACTTCACTATGTTGGGGCAACAGAGCCTCCAGTCTGTGTGCCGCCATCTGGGCACTGAGCACCGCCTGAATGCGGGTGAGTCAGACTCTAATGACAGACAGCTCTGCCTGCAGCTCCCCGGGCACAGCGAGGGAGGAGGGGACAGGGCACGTGGGGACAGCCTGGAGGAGATGGAGCACGGCGGGTCTTTGAGCCCAAGAAGCTCAGATGAGCATCTGCAGGAGCTCGCTCTGAGCCACCAACACTGAAACACAGCACAAAGCAAGAGCAACAAGCCAGATGCCAGGAGCAGCCCAAATCAGAACAAGAAAGCGAAGGAGGGCTGGGCAGAGAAGGCAGTGTGGTGCCAGGCACTGCACCCAGCAGCACGGGCAAACAATGTGGCTTTGTGCAGGGCCGGCACGCGAGCGGGGTGCAGGGACACACAGCACAGCCCTTGTTCCTCTGCACAGAGGGGATGGCGGCCCGGGGAGAGCAGGGGACAGGGCTGCTGGGAAAGGGGACAGCCATGGGGTGAGGGGACAGCTGTGGGACGACCTGTCAGGGGTGTGAAGCGCTGCAAACCACGGTGCCAGGTTGCCACGTGGGGCTCAGATGGGGGCATGGAGCTGCTGTGTGGGACTGGGGCTGTGCAGAGTCCCCATCCCCTCTCGCAGCACACGGAGCACAGCCGGGCATCCAGGCTCTGGTTTACAGCCAGTCAGATCTGGAGGGCTCTGCTGTTTAAATACAATGCGTAATTGCAGACAAAGGGGGCACGGTGGGGACAACACACCAGGGCTTCGGAGAGGCATCTGATACGCAGTGCCACACAATATCCTAAGGGGGAAATTAAATCAAGCCAGCATGGACAGAAATACGATTACATGGATCAAGAGCCAGCTATTGAACGGCAAGAGGAAGGTAATTAATTAGACATGGTGGCCCATCCAAAGGGGGATGGGAGGAGCCTGGGACAGGCATCAGATGGAGCTTCGGAGCGGCAGGATGTGGGATGAGCAGCATCCCTCGGGGCTGCTGGGAGCCAGAGGGGCCACGGCGGCCTGCAGTAAGCAACGCGACGCAGTGGGGACACATCACAGCTCATGCACACGAGGGACACCATAACCCCAAATGCTGACTGCAAGGCAAGAAGGAAGGCCTCAGAGGACAGCCAGGACTTTGGGTAAACCATCCAAACAGCCAGAGCTAGAGGGGTAAAAGCACTGGCCCCAGACAATGGTGTTTTCTGGGATGTGTTAGCACCAGGGGACGGACGGATAGGATTTCAAGGGGAACCTTTGGGATCATCCACCCTTTTCCAAGCAAACAGCTCCACATGGCCCCATGCCCCAGCAAGCTGCATCCTTGGCTAGGAGTGGAGTGACAGCACAGGGAGAGCAGCAGCAGGAAGGTGACCAACAAGTGGCCAGCATCTCGGGCACCTCGTCCCCCAAAGTGTGCAGGGAGAGCACATCTGCCTTGCTCAGAGCACTCTGAGGCTCCCAGGGCTCCTCTCAAAAAATGGGAGGCAGGAGGCTGCCATCTATGGCACGGCACTGCCCACCCCACAGCACCACCCATCCCATAGCACTGCTCACCCCATGGCACCGCTCCCCCCAACCTGCCGGGCTGTAGGACCCCCCCAGCTGCCCCTTTGCAGGCAGTGGGGGCAGTGGGAGCAAAAAGTGCTCCTTGTCCACCTGTGAAAGCCCTGTATCTGTAGAGAAGGGATGGGGAAGGCGGTCAGAGTGGGGCTCTGCCCCGGCAAGGAATAAGGAGAAGGATGGGAAATTAGGTCAGGTTTAAAATAACCCATTGGGTTCTGCTTGGCTTCACCCCCCCAGGGCAGCCGGCAGCTTCTGCTTTCACTCTGAATCAGCCCCAGTGGGAGCCCAGAGCAGGAGGGAGACCTTGGGGTGGGACGGGGACCAGGGCAGCACTGCGGGACTGGCACTGCCCAGCACCCACCCCAGGGACACCTCCCACCCTGGGGACGCATCCTGCCTCAGCTGGACCGTGTCTGGGATTCCCGTTATTGTAGGGATGGGCAGAGCGCATTGCTCACCAAGTGGAGGGCAGAGCTGGAGATGGAAAGGGGCGGTGGGGGCACAGAGAGCGGGAGGGAAGGAGAGACGGCTGAGGGGAAATATGGGGAGGGCTGGGGGGAACACTGCCCTGCCAGGTGCACAGTAGAGATGCACCACAGGAGACACAACCTGGGCAGCAAACCCTGCAGAGCCACCCCAGGGGTCTCCTCGAGGGACAAGCAGAGCCCCACAACAACAGCACTGCACCCCAACGCCCGAGCAGGGGCAGCGTGCCTCGGCTCCCAGCCCCAGAAGCAGCAGGGCCAGAGCAGGGGGATTTCTCTCCCTTCCCAGCACCTCCAGCACGCTGCAGCAACACGGTTATTTCTGGCCCTTCCTCGCTTCTCCTCCGGGGGTGTTATTTCAGCAGCCTGCCCCTCCCTCACCCCGGCAGCACTCAGCAATCACTGCGGCCGGAGCTGCCCCGGCGACACCGACCCTGCGGCACTGTGCGCGGCCCCAGCGCTGCCCTTTGGCCCCTCAGCGGCCGCAGACAACAGCTGATAAAGGAGCCGGCATCGGCTGCTCAGCAACTGCTGTGTGCTCGGCCGTGCCACCCCGGTGCTGCTCTACAACACACGCAGGGACAGGCAGCCAGGAGCACCCTGCTCCCACTGCCACCGCTGCCCCATCCCCAAGCGCGCCTCTGGGCTCAGGAGTGCCTGGATGGCAAAGTGAAGCAGCTTAAGAAGCGGGGATTAAAAATAAAATGAACCATAGGGCAGCTTCCAGATGCAGCCCCTGGAAGGATCACGCTGCCCTCTGCAGCAAAGCAGCACCCACACTGCCAGCAGTGCATGCAGCAAGCACGGCATCTCCTCCTCAGCAGAAACGTGGAAGAGCAGAGGGAGCAACGCTGCACTGCTGCACCCCTCTGCCTCAGCGCAGAGCCCGGCACGCAGGCAGCCCCGACCCCAGGCAGTCAGGGAAGTGAGCAACCCCCAGCCCCAGTGCTGCTCCACTGACAAGCACGAGTGCTGAGAAAAGGAAATGGAGAAGGAAGAAGTGAAAGCAGCTCTGCTCCTTGCTGCGGGTGCCCGCCGAGCCTTCCTTCCTGGTTCTGATTTTTCAACGTGTTGGTGTGGGGCAGACGTGGGGGCAGAGGGCAAGAAACCCCCCTAAATGCCCCAGCCCGGCCCCATGGCAGCACTGCGGGTGATGTGGGGGGGCACAGCGCCGCTCGGCCCCCACTGGGATGTGCTCCTGCATCACCAGGCGCTCCCTGCTCCCACCCCACAGCTTTGCTGCAGCCTTGTTCTGGGTGCAGAGTGGCAATGACGGCACCCAGCCGACCCCACACCCGCACAGCTGCCAGGGCCAGGCGGGAAGGGGAAAGCATTACCTGGGTAGGGGGCGATGGGGGGGCTTAGGGGGTCTCCGGACACCAGGACTGGCCGGCCACAGCTGCTCCGCGCTCCTCCCTGCCCTGCCCGGCTCCGTGGTTCCTCATTTTTAGGACCCCGCTTTTAACGTGACAGCAGCGCGGGCGGAGGAAGTTGCAAAAAAGGCCCCGGAGCCGCTTGCTGTGCTCACTGCCATGCTGCAGTCAGCAACACCAGCAGGGCAGAGAGGGACAAAAATAGACGCCGCCACTGCCGCCCGCTGTTGGCTCTGCCCCACGCAGCCCCTCGGGTGACATCCCCTCCTGCAAGCACGGGCGCAGGGACAGACGCTGCTGCTGTCCTCTGAGGGATTGGCACTGGGGGTCCCCCTCCCACTGACCACTGCACCAGGACAGCCATGCTGCCTCCAGCCAGCATGACAAAGCTGGAGGTCGACAAGGACGCGTGGGTGATGCCCCACATCCCCGCCTTCTACAAAGCCTCCTGGTACCACCTCCCCTTTGTGCTCACAGCACCCATAGGGCTGCATTCCACCATGCGACCAGCTGCAGCTCCAGCATCCCCATCAACCCTATGGGATGCTGCGCACACACCTCCCTGCAGCCCCACGGGCGAGCCCCCAGGGAGACCGTGCCACCTCCATGCCACACTGCCAGCAATGCAGGCTGGCACCTGGCAGCTGCCATACAGCTGGGACTGGCCTGCTGCCTCCCCTCACCCCAGCTTGGCTGTGTGGCTGCTGTTGGGTCGGGTGACACTGGCACCTGGTGGGAGGAAGGTCAGGGCCCTTCGTCTTCATCAGCACGCGGAGGAGCATGGCTCTGCTCTGTGCACTGCATGTCCTGGGATGGGGTCTGGAGGTGAGCGTGGCACTCTCCATCCTTAGAGACACCCGGTGCTCAAACCACCCTCAGCCCTAAGCACACCGATCCAGCACCAACACAGCTCCGCTCGAGGCTGAACCAAAGGTCCCGTGCCCACCCAGCCCTCGAGGTTGAGGGTGGGAGGTAAGAAGGGGGAGCAGCGCCGTTCCCAGAGCACAGCAGTGCCCTCGGAGATGGAGCAGCAGGTGGACGGCGGAGCCCCAGCCCCAGCATGCAGCCCTGAAAGGGAGAAGGCGAAGGGGGGAACTTGGCACATCGCACCCGGAGTCAGTTGACAACACCAGTGAGCAACTGAGTCACCAGCACTGTTTTTAGCCCCGGCATTTCAGCAATGTGGACCACGGCGCTGTTAACAGGCGCGTGGGTCAGAGGCCAAATGTTTTCCCTTCCATGCGTTAAATGCTGCTCTTGGAAGCAGCCCAGATATTTAGTGCAGTAAAAACATTAACGGAGCTGTGGGTGACAGCGGCACTCCAGGAGCCCTCACCCCAGCGAGGAGCTGTCGGGGATCAAAAAGCATCAGTGTTTGAGCCAGGGCTGCGCATCTCTCATCACAGCAAGGCTGAGGTGGCACCAAGGGCACCCACAGGAGCTGCGTTCCCACCGGTACATGCAGTTAACTTCTATGGGGTTCATAACACCCCGCTCCTTCACCCCAAAAGGTGCAAGGCGGCACCAGACAGTGGCTGGCACAACAGGACGGTGGTTGGCACAATGGAACCATCCCTGCGGGTGCTGCTGGAACCTCACCGCTGCCTCCAGAGCAGAGCCAAAGCTGCAGGAGTGCAGCACTGATTGAAACATCACTGTCCGACTGACCGCCGAGGGAATTCACAGCCCGCCCGCGCACAGCCCGAGCCGACAAGTTCCTGCCCTCCCCTCCCATCCCATCCGAGCAGGGAGGCAATTAAAAATAAAAGCATTAACAGGCAGAAGGACGTTCCTAGGGTGAAGACGAGCCAACAGCAGTGCCTGGCACCACCTGGGCTGAGTGATCCATCCGCAGCGGAGAGGGGAGAATGGCGTGACCTTGGGGAGGCCCTGGAGTCGGGGGAGGACAAGGAGGAGCTGGGCTCCAAAAAGCAGAGCGGAGCCCATCCTGGGGGACCCCAACCAACCGCAGGGTGCTGCTGCCTTGGGGTTACTTGGCAAAGTGCATCGATAAGCAATAAGGGAACCTGGCAGCACAGCGCTGTCCCCAGCTCCACACCTCGGGGTGCACGCAGAGCAGACACAACGCGCCACCTCCCCAAACCCCACATTGCAGGGCTGCCCCGAGCCACCGCAGTGCTGGGAAAGGGGTGACCACACTTCAGGGCCCCCTGGGCACTGCCAGCCCACCCCCAACCCCAGCCCTTCCCACCCCCCCCCCCCGGCTCCCAGGAGGAACATTTATAAATACGCCACGTCCCGCCTGGAGCCGCGTCCCAGAGCCTCATGTAACCAAACCGGCCGCCCCACGCCGCGGCCACCCCAGCCCAGAGCTGCAGCTGTTCTCCAGCCCCAGCAATAAACACGACAGGGACAGGCTGTGCCATGTCCTGCCCAGGGCCCGGGGCTCTCCCTGACACCAGCCCCACTCACAGCCGCTCACCGCAGCAGGGACGTGGGTCCCACGTGCTCTGCGAAGGTCACGCGCAGAGCCCCGCTGTGAAGGCAGCCCCGTCCTGCAGCAGTTTCTCAGCCCCACACCACGGTCACACCGGTTTGGGCACAGAGCAGCTGAGAGGCGCTGCCCCAGCAGGCTGGGTTTATCCAGGTGAAATCTTCGCCTGCAGCGGGAGCGGGGAGCTGCAGCCTGCAGCCTGGAGCAGGGAGCAGAGCAGTGCCAGCTGTGTTGGGTGCTGCCAGGACCAACCTGACCCCACGCTGTGAGCCATAAGCAGGGCACGCAGCCCAATGCACTCTCCTCACCCTGTGCCATTCCTCCTCGGTCTGTGTCAAAGCCACCATCCCCTGCAGACAGCCCATCCTGGAGCATCCGACCTCAGGAACAGCTCCTGCTCCCGGGGCCCCCGCTCCCATCCTGCTCCCACCGCCCGGCCGTGCATTCTGGCACCTGAGAGGCAGCACAGCAGCTGCACAAACTGCACCTGAGGCTCAGCCCTGCGCCAAGAGGGGAATTTACAACCAAGGTGTCCCCAGCACAGCGCTGCAAAGGGATGGGGAGAGGAGCAGGGCAAGAGAGAGGGCACAGCCAGCAGGAAGCGCTTCTTCACTGCCTTCA